TAAATACTACAGTTGGAACCCTGGAAATAAAAAGGGGGAAGAACTTACTGTTATTTCTTACATGGAAATTACTTTTAACATATACATTTTTAGAAAAAGCAGGACTTCTTTTTCTGGCAAACATTCCTGGAGTGTAACAGGAAGACTAAAGAGGTAACACGACCAGATTGTGGAGACCTTGTTAGCTATGTTAAAGACCTTTAATTTTGATTCCAAAAAGATTGGATTACTATAATTGATTGTGCATGGGGGTTAAAAAGGGAAAGGTATAAATGGTGAAATTCTGATTTTTGCTTCGGGTCATTTAGTGGATGATATTGATATTCTGTGAAATATTAGACACAGTAGGGGTCATCAGGTTTGTGAAAGAATATGATGAGTTTTCATTTTGATTTTTGAGAATTAAATTTGAGTGCTATGAGATATCCACAAGAGGATATCCAGAATGGAGTTGAATGTATGTGTCTTGTTAGATGTAAATGATAGGTAAAGAATTGGTAGACGTCATGTATAGCTATTAATTGGGATCTTGGGAGTGGATGATACAGATTAGGAAAAGTGTGAAGAGAAAAAAAGGGGGCTTCAAGCAGAGCCTTGAAGCACCCCAGGACTTAAGACACACAAAATAGGAAGAACAGGCAAAGGATGAGATGAGATGTCAGGATGGTTGAAGAAAAATTCCAAATGTTGTAATAAAACATTAAGACAATATTTCAAGATTGAGGAGATAGGGAATAGGGTCAAATGCTGCTGCTAAGTCCAGCAAGGACTCAGTGTGGGACGCGGATTTCATTGGTGATCTTAGGAAAAGCTGCTTTGGTGGAAAGATAAGGACAGAGGTAAGATTAACATAGGTTAAAGGGTAAGCAGGAGATGAGAAGAACGTAGGTGGTGTAGACAAGTACATATCTAGCTATGAATGAGAGAATATAATTGTTTCTGTGTAATTTAGACCAGAAAATACTTGAGCACATTTTAATTGTTTAAATGTTGAAGGAGTAAACTTCTTGAAAGGCTAGGTAGAAGACAAATGCGTACACACTCACACACACACACACACGCACAGATGTGAGGCTGTCTTACGTGATTTCACATACAATGGCTTTGAATTTCTCTGTGAAGTAAAATGAAAGGTTATCTATTGAGAAAGAGGGAGTTGGAGTTGGTGGATGTGCTTGGAGAAAAGTAGGGAAAAAAGTCATCCAGGGAGACTGAGCTGAATAAGATCATATTGCTGGGTCATCGGGCAGTGTTGGGGGTGAAGTTGAAGGTTGATGATCATGAACTTATGGGAACACAAACATGTCTAGTTAAGTGCCTTTCCATAATGATCTGAAGGACTTATTATATTGGTGAATCTAGGAGTTGAGTTTTGCCTACATATGTGATGGAAAGTCAGTGGATCAAGGGCAAGCAAAATATGTCTAAGAGAGTGCTTGATGTGATGAATTAGAATTTAACCTAGAAAGGAGGAATGCAGAGACACTAGGATAATGAGCAAAAAGTACGGAAAGCATCAATACCTTGGAGGGCTCAAGGTTGTTGAAGAACAAATGATAATCACTGAACCACATACCTGAGAAGATACAAGTAGCATGTCTACAAGTGTGATTTGTGAGGCAGGTCAATTCTAAGTTCTAGTGCTTCAAGATACACCTGTGGAACTGGACACCTGACTTCACAGTAACAAAATGAAATTGTCTAAGATGATGTTATGCTACATTGAGGGAAAAGTTTGGGGTAGATGAGTGGGAAGGATGTTAAACTTGGTGCATAATGATCACCACAATACACCCAGTTACACATATTACCGCATATAGTTGAAAAATTTTTTTCTTGTGATGACAATTTTGAAGATATACTCTCTTAGCAAGTTTCAAGTATGCAATACATTTATTTGTTTGTTTGTTTCTATAAATTTACTGGCAAGTTAGTTAGCATATAGTGCAATAATTATTTCAGGAGTAGAATCCTGTGATTCATCCCCAAATATAACACCCAGTGCTCATCCCAACAAGTGTCTTCCTTAATGCCCCTTGCCCATTTAGCCCATCCCCCACCCACAACCCCTCAAGCAACCATCAGTATGTTCTCTGTATTTAAGAGTCTCTTATGTTTTGCTCCCCCCTCTCTGTTTTTATACTGTTTTTGCTTCCCTTCCCTTGTGTTCATCTGTTTTTACATTACATTATTATTATTAACTCGAGCCACCATACTGCACATTCCATCCCCTCATTTATTTTATAACTAGAAGTTTGTACATTTGACGGTCTTTACCCCTTTGACTCACGTCCTACACCCGCCTCTGTCAATCACCAATCTGTTCTCTGTGTCTATGAGTTCCATGCTTTCATGTTGTTGTTATGTTTGTTGCTTTAGTTTGCAAACACAGCATTTGTCTTTGAGATCATACAATATTTGTCTGTGTTTTCTTCATGTGGCTTAAGTTTATATCCTCTGCTATGCAGATATCATGCATGTGCCATTTGCCATATACTCTACAGAGAATTTTATTACGTGTCAGTTTATGTAAAGACTTCTCAGGTTTAATGTGGAGCTCTAACATTTGCTTGTCATGTGGCCTTTGGAGGGTTACTTAACTTCTCTGTGCCTAAGTTTCTGCACCTTCAAACTGTAGGTAACATTATTTCCTTTCTCACAGGGTTTTAAGATGATTATGGAAGTTATTTCACGTAAAGAACTTTAGACTTGCATAGTATTGTGGAGGTTTCCAAAAATATTAGTTTTGTTATAGAAGTTGTTTGCTTGCTTTTTTTCTTGACCTGGTTTTCAGAATGTAGCAATTCTATATGTCTTTCACTAGAGGGCCCTCAATCACTCTCTTTGAATACATGTCTTCAAGAGTTTGTTTCCTCTTTCCTTTTTTTAAAACCACATGTGTATAGTTTGAGGAAGAAGTATGATAGAATAGTTTAAAACACACAATTTGAAGTCAGAGGTATCTGGATTTTGCTCTCACTCAAATAGACCATTTATCATCTATATTAGTTTCTATAAAAGGGGTATAATGCTACTTAGGGGTGCCTGGGTGGCTCAGTCGGTGTCAGACTCTTGGTTTCAGCTCAGGTCATGATCCCATGGTCATGGGATTGAACCCTGCATTGGGTTCCACACTGATCTTGGACCCTGCTTAAGATTCTCTCTTCCCCCCTCTCCCCATCCCCTGCTTGAGCTCTCCCAAATAAATAAATAAATAAATAAAAACATTGCTTATATCATACTGCTATTGTGGACAGTTTATTTTCCTTCAAAACATGATAAAGATTATTTTTTTTAATTCTAGGAAACAATGATGATAAATGGGATAAAATGACAAATGTCAACTACAACATTCCTACATATGTTAACCTCTTAAAATATTATTTATTTATTCATTAATATTATCTTAAAATGCAATAATATAAATACATATTTAAGGACAAAAAAAAGCACACTTGAACCAATTTCCTCAGTAAATCCTAAGAGGGGACTGGAGGTTGAGCTGTATATCTATTTCCATATTGTTCTCCATGGCGAGGTACCAAACATCAGTCTCAGAGAACATTCTGGTCTGAAAATGCCAGATGCTATAGTATAAGGGATATCAGGAGAGTAAGTGCAGTCAGAATAGGGTTAGTGTGCTGGGCACACTGCAGTTTGGTGTTAGGTTTTTCCGTACTGTCTTCTTTCTCTAAACCCATGCCTCTTCTCAGTCCTTGGCAACCTGTAGTGTGTCACCTGAGACAATCACCTGGACTGGCACCACAGCATAAATGATTATTAACTGAGGACTTGGATGTGCTAGCTCTGCCAGTTACTAGAGATGAGATCTTAGATAAGATCATCTCTCAGGTTTCAGATTCTGTAAAAAAAAATAGGTGGATAAAAACACATATCTGAGACCACATCCATAGTCATGCTGAAGCACAAGTCCTCCATGGACATGACCTATGAAGGCTGCTCTAAGCAGTCAGTAGGGTACTCAATATGGTGGGAGGAGTTGAATTTGACATTGACCTGCCCAACAAGAAGGTTTGTATCAACTCTGAGCACAGTACGAACACTCTGCTGGAGACCCTGGGAAAAAACACTAAAGGTTCTTTCCTACCTGGGCTCCAAGTAGGGAGGGCCTGGACCCCTGGTCACAAAATGGACCAAATGGGGCAGGACGCTGATCCTCTCCTGCCTTGCAGACAGACCTTGGCCTGGCAGTCCTACACAGCAATGGGAGTTCCTGCAGAGACCCTCACTTGCCCTGCTCCTTCTTAGCTTTCTTGCAAAAAAGTTGAACTGCCTTTGTTGGGAAAAAGATACATATCTCAGAAGACTGTTTAAATGAGATAATACTTTGTAAAGCCTGGACTCCTATTATGTAATAGGAGTCATAATTGTCAATTGTCTCCTTATTTTCCCAATTGTTCCCCACTTTCTTCGCTTCTTTCTTTCTTTGCATGTGGTTAGATTGTTTTTATCTATACTCAAGTCTATACAGAAACAATTTACTTTGACCCAAGGAACACTTGGTATTAACATAGGAATACAATTTTGTTCAGTTTGAAGATTCCACAGTGACTGAGTGATTACAACCAGAAGTATCATGCCTAGGGAATCTTTTCTTTTCTTTTCTTCCCTTCCCTTTCCTTTCCTTCCCTTCCCTTCCCTTCCCTTCCCTTCCCTTCCCTTTCCTTTCCTTTCTTTTTTTTTCTTCCCTTCCCTTCCGTTCCCTTCCCTTCCCTTCCCTTCCCTTCCCTTTCCTTTCCTTCTTCTCTTTTCCTTTCCCTTTTCCTTTCCTTTCCTCTTCTTTTCTTATTTTAATGGGGAATCTTTTTCAAGACATGAGTATTGCTCTTACTAGAACTGGGAGGTTCTTTCTTGGCAGATAGGGAAGAAGAGAACTAGCCTGAAGGAGAGAGTGGAGGAAGAATTATACAGTTTTCTCAGGTTTATCATACACAATTTGTTTTTCAGATACAGAATCTATGTTTCAGACCACACCGGCCATGTACAACCTGAGTAACGACCACACAGGTGACTTCACCCTTTTGGGCATCCCTGGCCTCGGGCAGTACCACGTCTGGATCAGCATCCCCTTCTGCTTTATCTATCTCGTGGCCATTGTGGGCAATAGTATCCTTCTCTACCTCATTGCTGTGGAACATAGTCTTCATGCACCCATGTTCTTTTTCCTTTCCATGCTGGCCATGACAGATCTGATACTGTCTACCACTTGTGTCCCCAAAACCCTTACCATCTTCTGGCTTGGTCCCCAGAAAATCAGTTTTCCTGGTTGTCTGACCCAGTTATTCTTTCTGCACTGCAGCTTTGTCCTAGATTCAGCCATCCTGATGGCCATGGCATTTGACCGCTACGTGGC